TACCATACCATACCATACCATACCATACCATACCATACCATACCATACCATATCAATCTATACCATACCATACCAGCCACAGTACGACAGGCATCCTCCTTGGAGGTTTTTAAGTCTAGACTAAAGACACACTATTTTACCCTTGCATTTTACAGTTAGCTGCTGAACGGGCTTTTTTACTTTACTTTACTATATTTGGAGGACCATGTTTCCATTGGTTTTATTGGTAATTCTTATTTTAGTTTTGGTTTGTTTTATTGTATTCTTGGTTGCATTTTTTACTGTTTCATGTGTTATATTTTTAGTATTGTCTGACTGTTCAGCACTTTGGTCAGCTGTATGGCAGTGTTTCTAAAGCGCTATACAAATAAAGATGATGATGATACCATACCATACCATACCATACCAGTCACAGTACGACAGGCAAATACAGCAAATCTTTGCTTGTAAATTAAAATTAGAAGCAATACACTGGTTTTAAATATAGATTTAAAGTGACAATGTTTTTACCATTAATCTCTGAAAATATCCAATGAAATGATGTAGTAAATGACTTAAATGATGCCCAGATGTTGAAAAATATTGGCAGTTTCATAACATTTAACCATAAAAATCAGTTCTAAAATACAAGGCGCGGGCCTTAGTCTCTGGGCGACACCATGATATTGGGCGCCATGTTTCCTTCTACGGAAGTCTGTGAGGACAAAATGCATTTGATGATTTGTAACAAATGGTTGTAAAAATTTCACCATTAACAAAAATTGTTGCTTTACACATTTACCTCTTCACTCATTACAGCGATGAAAGGGAATCTCATGTTCTTGTTATTTTGCTGGAGGTTGCACTCCCAGGGATTTTTGACCCTAATGGCTATCCGTTAGTAAGGTCTTATTTGAACACAAAAATAATGCTTGCTTGCTTGCAGTGATTAAGGTATGTACTGCCCCTATCACCAAGAAAACTATATACTGTCACTTTAATATTGCAACACAAAAATCACAATAATTCAGTGTATCAATATTTTCCTACATCCCCAATACAAGTACTGTGCATGAATATTGCTTTTTTTATGTGCACATAGCATATCATACCATACTTACCATACAATACACACCATACCATACATAGCATAGCACACCATACTCAGTAACTTACATCCTTGGGCTATTGAGAACAAGCCCAGTGAGGGAAATACTTGACACTAATTAAAAACTAAAATCACAACTAAAACATAAATAAGGGCAAAACACATAGGAAGGCCAATTATTATGTGTTCAATTTACAAAAAGTAATTTAGAGATTAGGTATGAACTACTGAGAAGTTGGTGTTAACAGCTGACAGACGCTAGTAAAAAATACGTAACTGGCTGTAGTCTGGGAGGATCAAGTGAAAGATGAGCTGAGATGAAAGGAGGAGTGTGAAAGATGGTCTCTAATGAAAGCTGGGTGGGTGATGATAGATGGGTGGATGTGGAAAAGGTTGGAGGATTCTGAAACTAGTCGTCACATGAGAGAGAACAGGAGGGACGCGGAAACAGAACAAGAGATGGAGAAACGTAAAGAGAGGAGGAGAGAGGAGAAGAGGAGGCAGCCACATTGCACACTTCAGGCTGTGAATAATTTAAAGGAGCACCAGGGAGACGAGACGTAGATGAACACAGAACACTGGCAGCGTTTGACCCAGAGCTGCAGCTACATCAGTGCACATCACAGAGCGGAGAGCTCTCCTTGCTCTCCTTCTTCCTCCCCTGCCTCCCTCCCCTCTTTCTCTTTTCCCTCTTCTGCTCTTCATCTGCCTCCCTCTGTGTCGGAGAGGAAACAGCTGTACACTTTTCTTGTTCTGCCTCACATTCTATGAAACTCAACAGAAAGGCTGACAACTCTTGTTTCATAAGGATGTCTTTTCCTCCCTGCCCTGGGCATGTCAGCAGCAATGTAAGGACTAATGGCACCATCACAGAAAATCTACTAATGTCTTTCTATTCAAGATGTACATCCAACCAAAACACTGTGTGTGTCACATATTAATAGCGTTTTATTGGATTCCACCACTACATCCACTTCAACACTATAAGACATTGTGTGTGTGTGTGTGTGTGTGTGTGTGCTTGCAGCGGCACTGTGAGCAAAATGACCTGCAAACCTCAGACAGCAGCAATAAATAACTTCTGCCCCATGATTAGGCTCAGAAAGGTTAAACAGAGCTCATTCACGCCACCTTTATCAAGCTGCCATGAATCACCTCACCTGCTGAAGGGTGTGTGTGTGTGTGTGAGGGAGATGAAAGATCTGCTGGACATCTGTGCAGGGAGTGGCAGTTGGGCGGACAGAGGGCGGTCCGATAAACCCAGAAGGGAGGGGCCGTTTATTACTGTAATGAAGGAACCGTGGGACTAAGGTGGCAGACTGTAAATGACTGATATGCATGTAAAGTAAATCCGTTAGTTTGGCACAAACATCAACAGGAAGCTCGAAGTAGAAAGGAGATGGCACTCAAACAAAGGAGGAAGGAGGAGGGTTTTCTCTCCTGATTTTATCCCCCTCCCTCACATCTCCACCCTCTCTCCCTCTCTCTCTCTCACTGTCTCCTGCTCAGTCTGTGTGGCTGATATTAATGGGACATCCCTTGTTTGTAAATGTGCCAAGTTGTGAGCACCACTGTGGGCTGTCTATTATAGCAGGCCTCTGGGGCAGCGATTCCATATGGTGTCACATATGGCACTCAGCAGCATCAATTAACGTTGTTATAATACTGATTTTTATGAGCTGGGGCTTAACTCCTTTCCTTTTTTTAACCCCCCCCCCCCCCCCTCCCCATCGCTGACTCTTTGATTCTTCAAACTGAAAACCTTTAACAATCTGGGTTCTGCACAGTGAAGTAGAAGTCTTCAATGCCAGATTCTGAAAGCTCAAACGTCACTTTGTTCTTGCTATGTACCGTTTTCTACGGAGGAAGCGTAATGTTGTTACCAGTGTTGGAATTTTTTTAAGTTAGAGGAAATGAGAATCTGATCAGCAACATATAAAAAAACAAGAGTTAAAGGCAAAAGTGAAGCTGAGGACATTTTTGTATTTACGCAGCTCTGAAAACAAACATCTCGTTTGCAGCAACTAGCCCTGGTCACATTTGACCAGCATTAAGGACGATTATTGTGTTAAATTAGGCCTGTTTTTTTAATGCACAAAGCATCAGACGAATGTAAAAACAGAATCTGAGAGGCCTTTTTGTTCCCTGGAGCCTTTGGTGGTGGATCTGACAGGACGGGAACAAGAGCGTAGCAAAAAACCCCGCTTAGAAAGCTCCCAGACACACCATCCTTGTCAGCGGTGCCACAATTAGAGACTAGATCACTGGCGCTTCCCAGCAAGAAGCATCTCACCACCATTCCTCAATGGAACGCTTTCGTTTGACGAACACACTCAAAGAGGGGTTTTAAAACGTTTCGGATGGCTAATCACTCTCAGGATGAAAGACCCCGGCGTGTTCGTTTGTGTCAGGGTGGGGAGCTTCCCTTGTCGTTTCTCTGTCTCTGATTCTGATTGTTTTTGTTCGTTTCTCATGCAGCAGGCAGGCGAGGCAGCCAAGCTGGCAGGCAGCGCCGTTTGAAGGTGCAGTTTGATCCGAGCGCGGGCCTGATGCTTTGTAGTGATATTTCCAGCAGCACAGTCTCATTACTTTTTGACGTGAAAGATGCGTGCAGGGGTGGATTGTCATTTCATGCTGTCAAAAGTTCTATGTGGAGACGGAGACAGCAGTGGAACTTCAATGACCTGCATGGCTTTGGCTCATCAAGGATGAATATATTAAACCAAATATCACAGCTAAAACCCAATGAACCAGATCCTCAGAGACGCCTGTAATGTCCAGTCCCCGGGGTGTGGAGGAATCTCATTCCTCATTTGTAATCTACAAAAACATTACTAAAGCACTCCTGTACGTTTCACAACGCTTCTTTTAAAAACGGAATCTAATTTGACTGAAGAGAAGGATCCTACGGGCAGTAGACGGTGAGAGCTGCTGCGTGTTTTCACATAAGACAATCCTCGGTGGGTCCTCTTTCAGAAAAAGGGGGTTATGTTCCGTGAAGTTGATTTCATACCGACTTCATTCAGTGCAGCAGGAGAAATTTGCTCTGTGTGAGATGCTGCCAGGCGCTGATTGAAGCGACTGGTTACCATGCAGACCCCATCCTGTTGCTGGGACAACTGTCCTGAAGTGCTTCCTGGGTAATTTTCAAGGTCACTGGTTTGTGCACGCCTATGTGGTGCAGATGGGCCCACCCTCATTCAGGCCCCAGCAGGAGCTCTTTCATTAAGCCTGCTGAATGGCCTCATTCATCCCCTTCACCCCGATTGGTCACGCCGAGTCTCTGCAGAGGACCCAGGACAAACTTTTCTTCCTGATCTTCCATGCACCACCCATCTTAGTCATGCTTCACTTTTGTTCAGGAGCATGTGGTCTTTGGAAGAGCAGACCTAGATGGACTAAGGCTTGATTCAACTTAGTGACCGTTTTGTTTATTTTAAACAACTTTATTTAACTAAATAGGTTCATATTGACTTTATTTTAGAGATTTAATCTTGGTTTAATGACTTCAGCACACCGATTTATAAGGTAAAAACCACTGCAGCAGAATTCCAGCAGCACCGTTTCATCTCTAAGTTTCGTCTCTCTTCTTTAAGTTGCTTCAATGGGTGTAGCGCTTAAATAGGTTAGAGGGTTCTTTATAGCCTGGCTCCTTCTGGCACTCAAGCGAGTCTCAGACCAAGCCTAGTGAGAAGCGACTAATTGTCCTGAGTTGTTAGTGTGCCTGGAATGAGACCCACTTCAGTCAGTGACAAGGTGCACAATAATTTTGTTTTTCCTTTCCTCCGACCCTCTTTTTTTTCTCCTCCTAGCAGCAGATTTAGCCTCTCTGCTTCTCAAGCTACTGAGCTGTAAAATTAACTGGACAGCAGGCAGTATACAGAATGAGACCTGGCATCATGGACGCACTAACCTTGAGGAGGGCCACTGCTGCTGGCAGCACCTAAAGAGATGGAGACAGAACGTCAGCCATATTAGACTGAGAAAGGTTAAACGAGGAGGGAAAAAAGACCAAAAGGAGAAGACAGGGAGTGCCATCATGTTTGTTTATGAAGAAACAAATTGGCAGCTTAGTAAAGCAGCTCTAAATCACCGTTAGGTGGGCTTGCACTCTACAAACAGACAACAAGGCGTAAACCGCAAACAACGAAAACAGCAGCGTTAGAACGTATCTAACATATTACCCGTATTAACCTTTGCAATTTAGTTGATTAGAGAGAATCTGGGATTAAATCTGCCAAAATATACATATTCAAGTGTATCGAAATGCAAATATGCTTTTTTTTTTCTAAAGCAATTCGAACCTTTTTAATGAAATCATCCAGTGTCGTTACTCCTGGAACAAATCTGAGCAATCAATTACTACAAGTCCCAAACAGACTGGCTGTGCTTTAGAAGTGAGCAAATGGAGCTTCAGTCTCTTACAGATGATATTAGTGCTCTGAGCTCCTTTCTCTCCACTAGAGATTAAGCAGGTTTGTACTCTCCCAGGCGGGCAGCACTCCCCCCCTCCAGGGTGCTGCACTATCATTTGCAGGAAAATTACTTCAGTAATGAAGAATCCAGGCCCATAAATCCTCGTGGCCTCACCTTCCTTCGCCGCCCAAGTCTCGCCGAACAGCTAGTAAAAATTCCCTTTAAAAAATTCATAGTGCAATTTTGCTCAAATCCCTCCCAGCAAGCACAATTATGGAACTTTCATCTCAATTGATTTATGTCCCAAGTAAAGAGAGCGGGCATCGCTCAGAGGGGGGGTTGTGGTGGAGGGCTGCGGAGGGAGGAAGACAGGACAAAAACAAGTAGTAAACGATTGTTTTTAAAACGGAAGGTGCAGGGCCTTTTGTCAGCTCCGCTGGGTGTGTGCGGTGGTGGACGTGCATGGATGCAGGGAGGAGGCAGAGGCAAGGGAAGCATCTTAAAGTTAAAGTAAAAAATGACAGAAAGGGGGAGGAGGGAAGAGAGATGGGGGCAAAAAGCAGTATTCCACTTGATTAATAACACTAATCAAATTATACAGTGTTCCACTGTGCCCTGAAATCTGGGGCCATAATGTACTCTAATGGCGAGGTTCATGGAGCTAAACTTCAGAGGGAAAACACAGCGCTGACTGCTGCATGCCTTAATGAAGGCAGTAAAACATCCATTTCCAGAAGCCATGAAATGAAAGGCAAGATTGTAGATGTGCACCCAGTGGCTCCCCCACTGAAAATAAGAGAAGCGGTAGCACAAAAGACAGAGTGGGGGAGAGGGAGCGCGACAGACAGGGAGATGCAGGCCTTAAGAAGAGAAATGAGGAGAAAATAAAGCAAGTGGAGAGCGGAAAAGGGCAGGAACAGCAGCAGCAACGGGTATAGAACGGGGAAAGGATGATGAAGTGGAGAGAGACAGGCTGGCACATTCCCCCAGCGCTTTATTCCACAGAAGTTCACTTCTGGCATGAAGACAATGCTGATTATGGATGAGCCAGGCTGCTTTACCATGTCTGTTATACTTAGTGCTGCTGAAAGCAACCTTAATTCATCACTATTTAGCTCCTGATGCACCTAACCACAGCATCCTCCCTCCCATCTATATCAATATCTCTCCATTAGAGAGTACCACTGTCCATCCAAGCATGCACTCTGTCGATCCATCTCTCTCTCTCTGTGAATCCACTCGCCCATCCATTCATGTAAATATTCATCCACTCATTCATTCCTGCATCCCGTTGTCTGTCTGAGGATCACACCCAGTGAACAGTTAAGACCCACACATCTTACGTAATTCACCCATAGACGGTCCTTTCATGCATCCCTTCATCCTCCCAGTGTGAATAAAACTCGACCCTGCTCTGACATCAACTGCCTGGTTATCCTATTAACTAACATCCAATATCAACATCTGAGAACCGAGTTAACCCTAGCCCTCACCCTGCCGCTTCACCAGGTAAACAGAAGCACGTACTCAAGCAGAAAACATCTGCTGCACAACAACAGATTCAATTCCAAGGCTCTCATTATGGTCTGCTTTTAATCTGCTAAATTGCACAAGTTGCAAACAATCAAATCCGTCTTTGCATCTTGAGGAAAATAAATACTGTTCATTGTCTTTGGGGTAAGGAATTCATCTGGAGAGCGAGCGGAAAAAACAACAAAGCTGAGAAAACACAGACTGCTATTGTTATTATGATCATAATTACACTTGCGCTTATCATGCACACGGCCTCAATCAGGATGAAATACAGTTTCATTTGACGAGGCTTCCTGTTTTGCCTGGCTTGAGTTTGGAAACCACACACTTGAGCGGCGTGCCAAAAACTCAATCAGGTGCAATTACTTAGCCATCAGATAGAAATGTAATTGATTTGAAGGCTGACATGAGATATAACTACATTACAGTGGAGGCACAGTGGGGAGGCTCCTTGGGGACAGGGTCTGCGGGGAGCTCATTACTGCCAAGCTTTGAATTATTGAGTGCTAAGGCAGTGACATTGAGGAAGTGAGGCGGGCGATTGGCTGTAACAACTCAGCAAGTGTTTATCTCAACTTACAGCAATCTAAGACATCTGATGGAGTTATCTGCCTAGGCATAAATAATGCAAAGGGAGAAGTTGTAATGCTTTATAATTAAAAGGGTTCAGGCCAAGGTGGAGCCCGGCCTGTTTCAGGCTACGGTATTTGTAGACTGGAACTGTAGCAAACACAGGTATCCCTCGAGGCACACGTTTCAGCTGTGATTCGTCCTGTGGGTGCGTTTAAAATCTTCACTTTGACTGAGAGGAATGATTTTATGTTGTGCTACTTACTGATGCTAAGGTTGTTGTTTCATAGCTAGCAGCACAGAAAACACAGAGCTGTACACAATTTACTCCAGATTATGGGTTTCCGGTGTTTCCTGAAGTAATCTACCAGAAGTTGATCTATTTTACTGCTTTTCTAATTTGCGCACTTCTAAGCTTTCTAGAAAAAAGGAGCTCAAATGAGGTGAAACCCTCCCCTGAGACTGGTGGGTTGAGGAAGTACATCTGCCTGACCCCGATTATCAGCCTGTGGCTCTTTTCCCTGAAGTGCAGAGAGAAGACTGATAAAGATATAAGTCACTGTGGAGGGGGCCTCTGCTTCCCCAAGGAAGTGGGGGACTGTCTTCCTCTGGGGAAGCGGTGCCCCCTAGGCCTCTGCTGCTGATCTTTCTCTGTTGCTCTCATTCTCTTCACCACTCTCCTCTTTTTTTCTCCTTTCCTCACAGCCCTCCTGTGAGCTTTCGCACAAAAATGAGAACTCAATTAATTCAGGCAAAATGAGAACGAGGGAGGAGGCAGAGGCAAAGGGTGCCCGGAGAGACGGAGAACAAGCGAGAGAGGAAAGTCTAACAGAGCTACATGTCAATCTGCAGCTCGAAAACGGCAAACAGACCATAGGTTGACTGTGCCCGCGCATGAAGTCTTTAGCTGAGTTAATCCTGTCTGCAGTATAAACACGGCTGATGAAGGAATGCTCCTCATTAAAGAGGGCGATGTTCAGCAAATAGTCAGGTCAGATGGAAAAAAAAGCAAAGAGAAGAAAGAAAATAAGGGCTGAGAGAGATGAGGATGGTGCTGACATGATTAAAAACATGCATGTTGTTTACTTTAGGAACGCCTGTGGGGATTGACAGATTGACATTGGAGTTCTTTAAAATAACGTTTAAAAGAAAACTACACAATTATGGCAGTATGAAGGTAGAATTCAGCTGTAGTACTGGAAGTACCTCACCCTGGATTTATTCAGGAGGAATGAATGAAAATTTAAAGCATGTCTGAATCCACACACACACACACACACACACACACATGAACACAGACTCGGATGCATATACACATGCATATAGACACACATGCATACACATGCACACATGCATGCAAATACACACATGCATGCACACATACACATACACATGCATATAAGCGCACACACATGCACACACACACATGGACACACATACACATGCATATACACACATGCATACACACACACATACACATGCATTTACACAAACACACACACACACACACACACACACACACACACACACACACACACACACACACACACACACACACACACACACACACACACACATTCATGCACACACACACACACACGGATGCACATACACATGCATATATACACACATGCATGCACACAAGCACATACACGTCATATAAGCAAACACACATACACGCACACATGCACATACACACGGACGCACATACACATGCACACGCACACATGCGTGTGTACAAACACACACACACACATTTACACACACGCACGCACACACACACACACACACACACACACACACAGAGGTCTACGATGGGGTACATGAGGTTTCACTCTGCTTTTTTCACCTGCTTTGCTGCAACGACACTTTTCTGACAGACACTGAAACAAAAACACCAAATGACTGAATGAACCAAATAAAACAAACGTCCCGTTTTTACCCTGCAACTTTATGTAAGCTGTGAGATGTTATCTCTGGTGTAATAATGTTATAAAAGTAACCACTTCCCTCAGACAGGGTATAAATCCTAAACTATCCTGGGATGTTTTTATGTTCCTTTTTCACTGCAGTGCATATATTTCATGTTTTACCAGTCCCAGCTTTAGGACAAAGCTCATAAAACAGGGCAGTGAGACGGCTCCAAATTTCCATACGATAAATAGAATGCGTGTAAACCAGTGTGCTCCTAAGGAAATCTGTCTGCCTGTCGCTCTCCCAGCGACTGACTCAGTAGCTTGTATAAAGAAGCCTGCTGTTTCTGGGAGGTCCTGAAAAAGTTTTACTTTTACAAAATGAAGGGAAGGATGGAGGAGTGGTGCTCAAGTTCATGAAATGAGCTTTTAAAATAACTCAAGTTTCTGCACTTGGCCCCGTCTCTGAACTGAAACTGCAGAGTAAAAGCACAAGACTGTTGAACAAAGT